GGTAGTTTTTATTAATAAGAATGTGAGTGGTAGTTGTTATAAATAAGAATGTGAGTGGTTGTGCTTATAAATAAGAATGTGAGTGGTAGTGGTTATAAATTAGAATGTGAGTGGTAGTGGTTATAAATAAGAATGTGAGTGGTAGTTGTTATAAATAAGAATGTGAGTGGTAGTGGTTATAAATAAGAATGTGAGTGGTAGTGGTTATAAATAAGAATGTGAGTGGTAGTGGTTATAAATAAGAATGTGAGTGGTAGTGGTTATAAATAAGAATGTGAGTGGTAGTGGTTATAAATAAGAATGTGAGTGGTAGTGGTTATAAATAAGAATGTGAGTGGTAGTTTTTATTAATAAGAATGTGAGTGGTAGTGGTTATAAATAAGAATGTGAGTGGTAGTGGTTATAAATAAGAATGTATATGGTTGATAGAGGTGGTGTTATGAAATGAGTTTCCTATTTTGCAGGTCCTCATCATCTCGTAGTGTTGAAAACAATGCAGCAACGGAATTCAGTCATCTAGACATCCATGATAGAAGAATAACTCATGAGGAGAACCTCTTAAAAAATGTACCATGGTTTCAGTCTGGCATTCCAAGGTGATTTTTCAAACTTTTGTTTCAACATATTTTTTTGATTGCATTGTCAAGTTAGCCTATATGTGAGGTGTAAGACCTGATTTACAGTTTAGACGTACACATATGGTTGATTTCCAACCCAACTCGTGTACATGGGAATCACGTGAGTACATGTATGGCCATTTTTTTGTGTGATAATTGTATCCCAATCTTATGTGTGTGAGAATGATTGTTTTTTAGCGTGTTCTCACATAAAAAGAAAATCATGTGAGAACTCCTATAGGGGTTTGTGTCCCAGTCTCAGGTGCGTGAGAATGATTGTTTTTTAGTGTTCTCACATAAAAAGAAAAACACATGAGAACACTTTTAGGGTTTTGTGTCCCAATCTCATGTGTGGAATTGATGCAATGTCTTGTTTGAATTTATGTGAGAACATACTACGTGATACATACTTAAAAATAGTCATTCTCACATATGTGGAATTGATGCAATGTCTTGTTGTTTAAATTTACCTGAGAACATAATTAAAAACAACCTTTTTCAAATATGTGGAATTGATGCAATGTCTCATTGTTTATATTTAAGTCCGAACATGCTTAAAAATAGCCAGTCTCACGCACATGTAAATGATCCAATGTCTGGTTATTTAAATTTATGTGAGAACATACTTAAAACCAGTCATTCTTACATAATGGGCTCAATTGGCAGATGTTGCACTGCAGGTTTGTGTTGTATAGTTAACTTTGCATCTCTGGGTGTGATTTAGTGCATTATGCTATCAATGAAATAAGCAAAACTAAACCTGCTACCTGTAATCAAGTGCTATACAGTAATATATGTAATTGTGTATTCAGGGAGATAGCCATGGAGATATTACAACAGGATGAGATTGGTGCCTTTGTTGTCCGTAATAGTGGTAGTCATCCTGGCTGCTATGCCTTATCTATGAAAGTAACTAAAGATGTCAATCGTATTGGTATTGTTAACTATTTAATAGAATATAAGAATGGTAAATATACACTCAAGGCAAGTATTCCAGCTTTATGGTGTTGTTTGCATATAGCCTGTAGAACCTAACATATACTGATATATATTTATTTGACAAAGCTGATTAGCAAAATCGCAGTGCACATTATGACCACATATTACATCATTACAAAGTTTATGCAAAGTTTTCCTGACCTCACAACTCCGATTCACATGTGTTATCATTATTGCAGGGTTCTGGCCAAGTTTTCTGATGTCACAACTCTGACTTGTTACATCATTACAGGGTTTAGACAAAGTTTTCCTGACCTCACAACTCTGACCTATTGCATCATTACAGGTTCTGGCAAAGTTTTCTGACGTCACAACTCTGACTTTTTACATCATTACAAGGTTCTGGCAAAGTTTTCTAACCTCACAACTCTGACTTGTTACATCATTACAGGGTTCTGGCAAAGTTTTCCTGATCTCACAACTCTGATTTGTTACATTATTACAGGGTTCTGGCAAAGTTTTTCCTGACCTCACAACTCTGATTAACTATTACTCCATGAATAGAGACTTGTTACCATGCCGACTAAACTTAGCGAGAACAAACCCAATTTACCATGTTGTAGATCCTGATGTCAAAGATGATCTCCGTTGTGATGAAGATGAAAGTGATGAAGAAGATGATCAAGATTATTTAAAGCTGTCAGATTTTACAACTCTAATGAATGAGATAAGACCACATTGAATGTAAATTATGACACAATGTAGCACACTTACAGCCATAGTACCAATCACACACAACAGACATGTGGGGTTGGCACCAATGCCTTCCCTAAAACAACCCCAAATGGTGTGGTTTCTATACTGTTATAGAAATAGGGCATATGATCACAAGCCACAAGCAGCATTGCTGCAATATTGCTATTTGTTGAATACATTCAACATGCGAGTGTGAGTGATGCAGGCAAAAACAACCACATGTACATTTTAATGAATCAGTCACATGTCAGCTATACATCAATGTCTGATATTTTTATATTCTGGTATCAATAATAAAATAATAATTTCTCATATTATTAAGTCATATTCAAAATCTATTTCAGAACTTGAAGTTTTGATTAAAATACAGAATAGTTGATTTATATGAAAAAAAATTAACCCTTAATTACTCAAGACACTCAGTGAATATGCATCTCTCATGTATGAAAGGAGTTTTATCTGTGAGATTTTATTAGCTCCGCTGTCGACTTTGTCGAGCGGAGCTTATCATATGAGTGATTGTCCGTCGTCGTCCGTGTCAATGTTTTACTTTTTCGACTTCTTCTTGAAAACTACAAGCCAGAATGCTTTGATACTTGGTGTATATGTACCTTGGGTAGACCTCTCTCAGATTTGTTCATTTCATGATGATATCTTCAATTCTCTAATTTTGGTGAATATTTTTTGTCATTTTTGGTAAAAAGTGATATTTTCAACTTCTTGTTAAAAACCGCAAGTCCAATTGCTTTGATATTACATATATAGATACTACATGTGGACCTCTCTCAGAATTGTTCATTTTGTAATGATATCTTTAATTCTCTAATTTTGGTGAATATTTTTGTAATTTTTGGTAAAAAGTGATATTTTCGACTTCTTGTTGAAAACCGCAAGTCCAATTGCTTTGATATACTATACATATAGGTACTACATGTGGACCTCTCTCAGATTTGTTCATTTTCTAATGATATCTTCTGTTCTTTAATTGCCATGTGCATTGCTAACAGCGGAGCTATCTCAGCCGTCAGGCTGCTTGTTGAATGGTAAGTGTGCCTTTGAAATATTCATTTTATTGCATATATCAGTAGCCTATTTCTGTGTAAACAAGGACCAAAGTTCAGTGCCAAAGTAATGTCTGCATTTTATTTACATAAAAATTTACACTATTCCAAATGACCAGTCTATTTTTCAAAGAGGTTGGTGATTATGTGATAGTAATGCCATATAGCATGAGTGGCTATGTGCCATAACCATTAATTGACTATGGTTTATCATGATTGTTGTGAGTTGTAAAGTGTGTGCCCACATGATGTTAATAATTTTTGTTATTTTAATATCTTCAGTTCATAGTAATTTTTCAATAATGGGGTTGCTCTTTGCACCACTCTCTATTCACGACATGCGTATTAAAAACATCCAGTGTCATCTCTTATATTGGTGGGATCTGGTGACATTTAATACAAATTAAAATTAATCTGAATTTGAAACTTTCCATCAGATTTAGCTTTAATTTTATATAAATTGTACAGTATAATATAGTTCAAGTTTAGGTACATTTTTGATTAGTGAAGTTTGATAATATGTTAATTAGCCCAATGCTATATTTAGCATCTGTATTCAAAGTAGATGTTTGATTGGTGAAGTGTGGTAATATGTTAATTAGCTTAATGCTAAATTTGCTATTTCCATCTAAACTCAATGTTTGATTGGTGAAGTGTGATAATATGTTAATTAGCATGATGCCATAGTTGGTATCTCTATCTAAATTT